CATAGGATTAATTTTACGAGATCAAATATTTTTGTTTCTTTATTTTGGCTTTAGAATTTCCAGCTATTTGCCAGAAAGAATCAATTCATTCAAACACGACTTTAATTCCCAACATTAAAACGTGTCTTTCAGAACATTAGTGCATAATCACACAACCTAATGTTCTTTTCCACTCCCAAACTTACCCAGCTGGATCTGATTGGGGGAACTGTCTGGCAACCTAGGCAGTCCACTATTAAAAAAATTACCAACCGTATACCTTAAATATAAATAAAACAAACTTTATTTCATATCACATAAAAAAAATCTGACATTTGCTATATACACACATTTAGTTCATTAACATAGATATACCATAAGTACAAAAATAATCAATTCTTAAATTTTATAGTATAGTTTTACAAAATAGATAAGCAGTGTGTAACATCAAAATAGCAAAAATGAAAACAAGAAAAACTACTGTATATAAGTGTTATTACCTTCTAATAGACACTTATTGCGTAAGAGACACACTTCAAAAATGACCTAACGTTTTGGCATATAAGGACTAGGCAGTCCCTCAGCAGCCAATCAGAGCGAATGAGAGTCTTGTGCTTATAGATACTTTTACCACAATCACTGTGTCATTGTACTCTGTCTCTGTATTCACTTTGAGGCGAGAGAGGCAGAAATGTAATTGATACAGAGTGTTCTGTATACTAGAACTGTTAACTGTGGTTAAAAATATTTATCACTACTTTTAACCCTTTCACTGCTGATCACGTCAGTGCTCTGATCAAACTGTTCAGGTTTTTGTGGGTGTCAGACGTGTGGCTTTTTTGTTTAACTCTCTCTAGTTATTTTTAATAGTTAATTCCTATGGGAAATGTTGATTCGGTTCTCAAATGAATCGGAACTCGAACAGCCTTCTGGAACAAATTAAGTTCGAGTTCCGAGGTTCCACTGAATATAAATATATATATTTGTGTCCGGGATATTAATAGTCAAACAAACCTTAAATAAAACATATCGGTTATGGCAACAGTCGGTTGAGGTGTGCCGTAACTGACGAACGGTTAGGCCTAAAAATAAAGAGGGCAAAAAGTGAATGCAAATCTTTATTGAAACAAACCACATACACATTATTTAGCAATGTTACTGAATGCATGTCTACAGGGAGAACTATTATTGCAATATCGGCACGGCCAGGTAGTCTCAAATATTGGCTGTGCCGGTATTGCAGTAATACTGGCAATACAAATGCGGGTATTTTGCTCAGTATAAACGGACATAACTCTGCAATACCAGCACCGGCCAGTAGGGGTTGCTGGGTGTGGAGAGAGGCAGGGATCGGAAGTTACAGCATATGCCTGACTCTCTCTACTCACTGATCCGCAGGGGAGCAACTATACAGCACAGAGAACCCAGCCTGCACAGACAGCCTACAGTTTAGGTAAATGAGGGAGAAAGGCTGCAGGGAGACATGGGGACACAGAGACATTAGGGGACACTGGGAGACTTGGGGACACTGAGACTCTTGGGGACACTGAGACACTGGGAGACTTGGGGACACAGACTTGGGAACACTGAGACACTAGAGGACACTCGGAGACTTTACACAGTGTCCCCTAGTCTCTCAGTGTCCCCATGTCTCCCGGTGTCTGAGTCCCCATGTCTCTAACCATGTTAGTTTCCTAACCAGATTCATAATTATTAGTGAATGTGAGCGTCCTTTGTTAATTATATTACAAGTTGCTAGGTTGTCTGAAAAACATCTGACTGCTTTCCCTTTCCATTTATGACCCCAAACATGAGGTGCTACAACTATTGGATAAATGTAAAAAGGGTGGATGTTTTATTAAAAAATTTAAAGGGACACTCCAGGCACCCAGACCACTTCTGCCTATTGGAGTGGTCTGGGTGCCAACTCCCACTACTCTTAACCCTGCAAGGTAATTATTGCAGTTTTTTATAAACTGCAATAATTACCTTGCAGGGTTAACTCCACCTCTAGTGGCTGTCTACTAGAGTTTTTTTGTTTTTTTTTACCTTAATTTAAATATACATTGTAAGTATTATTGTTGTATATTAATTGATTACGTACCTAGCGTTTGGTTAATAACCTTTTGGGTTTGCAATTTTACACCGATTTGTAGAAACCTAAAAGAACCAATAGAACAGGGCAATTACAAATAATTATTATAAGATGACAAGGAAAAGAAGGAAAATTCTGATACTACTGACCACTGGTGTACATACCGCGGTCGCAGGGGTCGCAGCCGCGACCGGGCCTGGCCCACCAGGGAGCCCAGCCGCCCTGCGACTGGGTATGTACGCCAGTTTGCCAGCCTCTTCTCCTGGGGGGCCCCCCAAGGCTGGCAGTGGCATTACATGGCGGGCGGGCAGGCAGGCGTGCGAGGGAGCATTCTCCCCTGAGCGCTCTCTGCCCAGCTCCTTCGCGCGCACCGCAGTGATGCCGGAGTCGGAATATGATGTCACTCCGGCGCGCGAGGGAGCTGAACAGGAGGATCAGTGCTCCCTCGCCGCCTGCAGGACCGGCCGCGCAGCCCCACTGGATCCCAGGGAATCCCCTCAGCACTCCCAAAGGTAGGGAGGCTGTGGAATTAAAATTTTGTAAAAATATGAGTGTGTGTGTGTATATGTGTGTTAGTGTGTGTGTTAATTTTTGTGTGTCAGTGTGTGTGTGTGTGTGTCTGTTACTGAGTGTGTTAGTTGTGTGTTTGTGTGTGTCTTTTATTGAGTGTGTGTCTGCTAGTGTCTCAGTGAGTGTGTTAGTTTTTTTGTGTGTGTGTTACTGTGTGTCAGTTGTGTGTTAGTTTGTGTGTGTCTGTTATTGAGTGTGTGTCTGCTAGTGAGGGTCAGTGTGTGTGTTAGTGTGTGTGTCAGTGAGTGTGTTTCTGTGTGTGTCTGTTACTGAGCATGTTAGTTTGTGTGTGTCTGTTAGTGAGTCTGTTTGGTGTCTGTTAGTGAGTGTGTGTTTGTCAATGAGAGTGTATGTTTTGTAAGTGAGTGTGTATGTCTGTCTGTCACTGAGTGTGTATGTATGTCTGTCACTGAGTGTGTGTCTGTCAGTAAATGTGTGTGTCTGTTAGCTAATGTGTATGCGTCTGTTCGTGAGAGTGTGGTGTGTGTGTGTGGTTAAAACCCCTTCAGCACTTACCTTTACCAGCGCCGATCCGCCTCTCAGCTCCAAATGCGCATGCACGGCAAGAGCCGCGTGCGCATTCAAACCGCCCATAGGAAAGCATTACAAAATTTTTCAAAAACATTTTCACAGTGAGAATCGCGGAAGCGCCTCTAGCAGCTGTCAGTGATTAACCAGCCTCTGAAACTGCTATGTTTTCAGCTGCAGGGACCTGGCACCCAGACCATTTCATTGAGCTGAAGTGATCTGAGTGCCTACAGTGGTCCTTTAAGTGTATGTATCTGCATGCAGTGGCGTACATACCGCGGTCACAGGGGTCGCAGCCCTGCGACCCCTGCGACCAGGTGCCTTCCGACATGTGTTGCGGCCCCGGCCCGCGCAGAGTAAGCGCGGAGGGAGGGGCACGGATTAATTTTTGCACCAGGGCCCCATGGATCGTGTGTACGCCACTGCTACTGACCATTATAAACAATAAAAACAAGTGTGTAGTAAAGAGCGCTGTGAATATTTTGTTTAGTGCTGCTAAATTCGACTGTGAAAACAATAACTAATTTCCACTAAAATACATAAAAACCAAACAAAAAAGTGGAGAGCGCACTTATATGTGTCAATATAAAACCATGAGTGGTAAACACACTTTAGTAAGTAAAACAGAAAATAAAAATACCTTGTAATGAAAAGAGAATACTCAACATGGGGCCATATAGTAATACACAGGAATGACAGAGAATATTGTTTATACAGGAATAGATTCACATCCCACTCACATTTTCCTGAGCCTGTGCAATACTGGCTCAAGTAATACAGCGTAGTTGCAATGTGATTGTTCCAAAGATCAGGATCCCAGTCTGATATCCTCCCAGGAAGAGATGAATATAGACAGATACCAAGTTAAAATATTTAACAATTTTATTTAAATAACAGACATAAAAGTCCATACACATAGGAACACTTGGTGCAGCAATGGATCCAAAAGCACAACGCGTTTCAGATATTTCTGCCTTCCTCAGGTTCATAATTACAGTCTCTGTGATTCCAGTTTAAATATTGTGTCATATTTTATTTTATTTTATATCTTACTATATATCTTTTATATTTGATCTTTTTTATATATGTTATAATTTTAGGCAACCATGTCCCTTCATACACTGTTATCCTTAAAGGATCACTATAGGGTCAGGAACACAAACATATATTCCTGACCCTATAGTGTTAACACCACCATCTAGCCCCCCTGGGCCCCTCATGCCTCCATAAATATAGTAAAAAATCTTATTGTATTCAAGCCAGAAGCTGTAACTCTGCATGCTGTTTGCCTAAAAAACAAAACAAAAAAAAACAGTCTGCTGACATCATCAGAAGTGGTAGCCTGATCCAATCACAATGCTTCCCCATAGGATTGGCTGAGACTGAAAAAGAGGCAGATCAGGGGCAAAGCCAGTATGATTCAAACACAGCCCTGGCCAATCAGCATCTCCTCACAGAGCTGAATTGAATCAATGATTCTCTATGAGGAAAGTTCAGTGTCTGCATGCAGAGGGAGGAGATACTGAATCACAGGATGCTGTGCACAGTGCTGCCCTGTGCTCTGCTGACAACAGATCTGAGCGGATGCAGGGCCGTCTATAATATGATTAGGACCCTGGGCAATGCATTTTCTTGGGCCCCATGGGCCCTGTCCCTGCCACTGCCTCACCCCCCAATTACGTCCAACCCACAATCACACTGACAGACGTACTGGCACATACACACACAGACAGACATTAAAACATTCACAGATACATACTGACACACACAGTCACTACACACAAACATATACTGGCAGACATACTGACACACACACATACATACATACACAGACACATACATTAACAGATATACTGACACACACACAAACACATACACTGACAGATATACTAAAACACACAGACACATACACTGACAGACACATTGACACACACACAGGCATACTGACATATACACACACACACACACACACACAGGCATACTGACATATACACAGACAGACGTAATGGCTGATACAGACAGACATTAAACATTCACAGATATATACTGACACACACATACACTGACATACAAATATATCCTGGCAGACATACTGACACACACACACACACACACAGACATACATACATACATACATACACACACACACACAGACACATACACTGACAGACATACTGACTGACACACACATACACACACAGACATACTTACATACACACACAGACATACTGACACACAAAGACATGCTGACACACACACACACAGACATACTGACATACACACAGACAGACTGGCACATACACACAGACAGACATTAAAACATTCACAGATACATACTGACACACACATATACTGACACACAAATATATCCTGGCAGACATACTGACACACACGTACACACACACACACACACACACACAGACATACCTACATACACACACACAGACATACTGGCATACACACACAGACATACTGACACACACATACACAGACATACTGGCATACACACACAGACATACTGGTATACACACAGACATACTGACACACACACACGCATACACACACAGACATACTGGCATACACACACAGACATACTGGCATACACACAGACATACTGACACACACACACACACACACTGACATACACACACAGACATACTGGCATACACACAGACATACTGACACACACACACACAGAGACATACTGGCATACACACAGACATACTGGCATACACACAGACATACTGACACACACACAGACATACTGACACACACACAGACATACTGGCATACACACATAGGCATACACACAGACATACTGGCATACACACACAGGCATACACACACAGACATACTGACACTCACACACACACACACACAGACATACTGACATACACACAGACATACTGGCATACACACAGACATACTGACACACACACAGACATACTGGCATACAAACAGACATACTGACACACACACAGACATACTGGCATACACACATAGGCATACACACAGACATACTGACACACACACACAGGCATACACACACTGACACACACACACAGACATACTGGCATACATTTAGCCACCCTCCAGGTTCTTACCTTTTCCTGGAGGGTGGTTTCCCTGGTCCAGTGGCAGGCTGAGGCAGATGGGAGTTCTCCTCTGGAACTCCCCTCCTCCCTGCCTTCCTCCTCCCGCGCGGCTCTCTCCGGTGGGAGGAAGTGACGTCACTTCCTCCCAGCCAGCTGCAGAACCGGAAGAGGGGCCCGGTCGCGCTGTTTAAGCGCCACAGCGCCCGACCGGGCCCCTGCTGACACATGCTCCCCGGGTGGCCCTTAGTGCATGGGCCACCCGGGGAGACTCCTCAGTGTGCGGGAGCCGCACCGCAGGGGCTGCGCAAATCGCGGGGCCCACAGAGCAGCTGCTCTGGGCCCCCAGGAGCAACTGGGCCCGGGGCAGCTGCCCCGTTTGCCCCGCGTTAAAGACGGCCCTGAGCGGATGGAGGCATATTATGCCTCCATCAACTCTGAAGTCCCTCTGGTTCACTCTCAGTGACTGCAACAGGAGGTGTTCCTAGCTTTCAATGTAAACACTGTATTTTCTCAAAGTACAGTGTTTACATGGGAAAGGCTGCAGGGAGCTATAGTTCTCACCTGAACAACCTCAGTAAGCTGAAATTGTTCAGGTGACTATAGTGTCCCTTTAATGTTTTATATTAGTTTATCCTGATGAGTTTTTTTTTATGTATTTATGATATATTCAACTACTTTTTCTTCTTTTTTTTTTTTCTCCTAATTTTTTGCCCTTTATTTATATATATATATATATATGTATGTATTCCCTTATCCAAAATGGCCACCGGAATGTTTCCGGCGGCATATAATGATTTTATAAATGTTTTTTTTTTTGTGTATTAAAATGCCCATATTCTTGTTAGTTAAGCATGTAATATTATCACTATCAGTGTTGCATATATATGCCTACACTGACGTTTCAATTCTGACTCATACTCCTCCTTAAAGGACCACTATAGTGCCAGGAAAACATACTCGTTTTCCTGGCACTATAGTGCCCTGAATTATAAAAAGAAAAAAAATAGAATTATAAAAAGTTTATAAAAAAGCATTAAGTTCGAAGTCTATATTTAGACCTTTGGGAACAAGGGTCTCCAAATTGAATATCCATCTTGCTTCAATTTGATCCAGATTTCTTTCCAGATCTCCGCCTCTCCAGTGTACATTTACTTTTTCAATGGGTAGGAATCTCAATCCTGTGGGATCTCCTCCATGGGATTCTTGGAAGTGTTTTGAGAGGTTGTGTGTTTGTAGTCCTCTCTTGATATTCCGAATATGTTCTGCTACTCTAATTTTTAAAGATCTCTTAGTTCTTCCCACATATTGTTTGGAGCAGGGACATGTAATGAGGTAGATTACTCCTGGTGTATTGCAGTCTTAATAAAGGCTTTAGAAGATGTACTAAATGCATAGCATGTAGAAACAATCCGTCCCTGGAATTAGTTACGAAATTTAAATCCACAACTAATATGGAAGAACATAATTTACAGACGAACATGAATTGCAATACAACAGGAGTAATATACCTCATTACATGTCCCTGCTCCAAACAATATGTGGGAAGAACTAAGAGATCTTTAAAAATTAGAGTAGCAGAACATATTCGGAATATCAAGAGAGGACTACAAACACACAACCTCTCAAAACACTTCCAAGAATCCCATGGAGGAGATCCCACAGGATTGAGATTCCTACCCATTGAAAAAGTAAATGTACACTGGAGAGGCGGAGATCTGGAAAGAAATCTGGATCAAATTGAAGCAAGATGGATATTCAATTTGGAGACCCTTGTTCCCAAAGGTCTAAATATAGACTTCGAACTTAATGCTTTTTTATAAACTTTTTATAATTCTATTTTTTTTTTTTTCACATTAATGTTTCACTCCACGCTATTCCCCCCTTTTTTAGCATAATGTTTATACACCAATTTGCACATGGTACATATTATACCATATATACACAACATATATACATATATTTCTGCGACACTTTATATACATTCTCCTTCCTCCTATGCACTGACAGTTTTTGGGTTCACATCCAACAAGTCTTTCTTAATAACTTAAGGGATACCAAATAAGACTTTTTATAATACATATAACAAGATGTTAAGATTGGCTACTTTTTACACATTTTTTGATTTACTAGATCTTCTAATACAACTTCAACACCATAACCACCTGTTGCATTAATTGTTCCTTCTTATTGTTTTCTCTAACTGTAATCTTATTGCAGACAACTATTCCCTGTGAAAATAGAATCCTAATACCCCTTTAAGATCAGGTTTTAGCCTGAATATAATCCTTTCTTCAACGTAGCTATTTTGGGACCACCTATATCGAAGTGTGTATCCATTATCCAATTGAACCATTTCGGGACAGTTGATGTCTGTCCACTTATTTATTTATCTGCCTTTAATAAATTTCGAGTCCTCCTTTTTCTAAATGCTACCATCCATATTTCATACATATGTAAGTCCTATGCTCGTAGTTTAAATTGACCTATACGCAAGATAAGTACCACAAATATATAAACATTTTTACTGTAACTATTTTTTGGAAATATATTTTTATTGGAAATATTTTTAATGGAAGTTTTTAATCTCAAATATATAACCCAATTATACTCTACAGATAGCAACTATTACAATCTTTCTGCTGTATCTCTCACCATCTCCCTCGTCCACTTTAATGATTAGGTTTACTTCTCTCGTTCTTCTTATATACATTTTTATTTAGTTTTCTATTTAATTTTAGTTTTTTATTATTATATTTTATGTGATTATTATCCTCCATCCTCATGTACTAATATGCATACATATAATATATACTGCTTCTATGTATGTTTTTACAGCAAGTTTTTATATTTCCTTTATTGATATCATGTGGTTTTAAATACCTCTTAATCTGTGACCATTTTTTTCAAAATTTTTTCACATTGTCTTTGATATCTATTACTGTATTTATGAATGAACTCATTCCGATGTATTTATGAAGAGTGTATTTTTAATCAATTATTCCTTTTAATTAACTATTCTCTCTTTGTAATTATGATTTTTCTCTTTGTATGTATTCCTATTAACCATCAAGGGTTAAATACTGAGCACATAATCCTTTTAGGAATGATTCTTATGCTGCCAATTACAATTAGTCAGATGTATATTTATTCAACATGGACTACTGAATCCTTATTCCGTCTCTGATGAAGTGGGGCTGACACCCACGAAACGCGTTAGACCGAACAGGATACGGACGCAGAATCTTTGAAGCCAGCAACAAGCAATCCCTCCTTACTGAGAGCGTGATACCCAAAGATCTGGGGACCGATCGGCCGGCAAGCGTGCATCACTCAGAGTGAGGTCTGGGACGCACGCTAACCTCACAGCCGACAGCCAGAGATTACAGTGAATGCAACACTGTATCCATATCCATCCTGGATGGTCCCTGCGGTTCAGTTGAAACAAGGACTGCCTAAGTGCTGGTAACATTCTTGCAATACGTTCCTGACTCTTATTTTTTAATTATTGTTAACATTTGAATATATTTTTAGTATTTTTATATTGCCCAATAAACTTTGTATTAATTTTAATTACATAATTTTATTACTTATTGATTCATATATTTTTATTCTTTTCTACTATTTTAAGTGATACGGTGATCTATACAGTAGTACAACTGTATATTCATTAACATATGTCATGTATGCTTAGCTTAGCTCCTGCCTTTACTCAACATTTAGAATGTGTGGGCATTACTTGCTTTCTCAACATTATACAAAAAATGTGCTACCCCTTCATAATGCCAAGTATCATACCGTTCTTTATTATCCATGGTTTTTGATGCATATTGTATTACTTTGTTGATTGTTACTCTTGCTTGTGCTTGCTGTTATGACATTACAAGACTCTTTGTAACCCTATTGCACAGCAAAACAATTTTTTAAAAATACTACAATATTCTTTTCGGGGAAGGCTTAATACTTCATAAAATATTTAACAGTTCAGCGATAACAAAAAATCAATAATTATCCTAATTCAATACGATAAATAAAACAAACTCAATATAAAGCATTAATACATG